TCTTTCATTCCCACATTTGCTACTGCCAGTGAGCAGGCCGGGAAATTGGGTTTAGGACGTAACAAAGTAATTATTTCCATGTATTCAAATTACCAGGTTGGTGCGAAAAATTGTAAAGTACTTGAAAACATTAAGTGTCCTCACTTTTTATTACAGGTGGTACAAATGAATAAGCTACCCTTAATTTTAACCTTTGTTGGCGGCGAGCACTGCAACACGGGCCATATTTTAGCTTTGGAGCATCAATTAGATGTTCACTTGGGAGACATCAAATTAGCTGTAAACGAAGCGTAACATGAAAGACTTACAATGTAGGCTACAGTTAATCATATTGCCCAATATAATTAAATTATGTGCAAGTTACTTTGTTCTTCTTGATTGATTGACGCTGTAACCGTCTAAGCGATTCTGGCCGAGTCCAACAAAGCCCACCAGGCGTTTCTCTTCTGCGCCAATTGGAAAGGCCAAGTGAAGCCAAGTCCTCTATCTGGTCTTTCCATCGCAGAGGAGGCCTACCCCCTAGCAGCATCGCGCATTGTATACTTTCAGAGCTTGAGCGTTTTGGTCCATGCGTATTACATGATAAAGCCAGCGGAGCGGCGCATTATAACTATAACGTTGTTAAATTCATACAGCTGATCGTTCCAACGTCGGCAGCAATCTCCATCGCCAACGGGAGCACTCCATAATCCCGACTTTGAAGATCCCGACTAGACATAATCCAGACAATTTTTATTAAAAATCCAGACAGCACATAATACAGACATAACAAAATCCCGACCAAATAAAATACAGATAACACATTATTCAGACAAGACAAAATCCCGACAAGACACAATCCAGACAAAAAAAAATTACAATGCGTCCGGAAATGAAATTGATGACTTATGCCTAAATATAAACGGTTACCACTCCACATTTTTTCGCTTCTTCACTGCAAGGAGTCTAACCCTCTCGGCAACCACTTTACCACAAGGACGAAAGCTGCGTATTCCCGTCGGTGGCAAACTAATTCCAACGGTGAATAACCGGAAAATTGTCAAATCTAGCTCTCGTTCCCGGCGCATACAACCGAAATTGCCAACAAAGTGCAGAGCCGTAGTCCTCAATTCGGCAGTACTTGGCCAAAGACAAAGAAACGGTGTTGCAAACATACAAAGCCGTCCGGTTCTAAATTATTCAGCGCCTGTGTGCTCGCCGGGGACAATTGGTTCGCAGTGGACGAAACTAAAGACATGCAACAATACAACACCCTGGACAACCAGAGGATGTCTTCTGATGTCGCCAGAATATCACATCCACAGTGAAGCTGAAATTCTCCCAGTAAGGTGCTACAGTTGTCAGCAGTAGAACTTGCTTTAGCTGAAGGACCAGGTCAAGCACTACGCACAGCACCCCTGGGACTGGGACTATACAGACAGGTTATTAACGGTATTTGCAAACTCGTCAAGTGAATGCCATCATCAGTGCCAATCACCACCTGTGAACGACAGTGAGCTTCAACTGCCACGAGATACCCGCGTAACTCTGGCCCAACTCGCCTCCCAACATCGAAAATGAGTGTCCAGCATGGAGATTCGCCCCTTGACACCAACCACCTCTTCATATGCTCTCTCAATCTAACTCAACTAACATCCCCCTCTCCCTCTGGTTCTACCTCATCGAAATATTAAACCTCCTGGGCCTATCGTTAGTTGAGCCTGCGGACAATTACGGGCTAAGTAAGCCCTTACAACAATAACAACAACTGTGTCTTTTATACATTATTTTTGAGCGAAAACAGAAGAGAATCATGACAAAAATCCCGACAAAATATAAAAATAATTAAAAAATCGCGCGATTTTTTAATTATTTTAATATTTTGTCGGGATTTCTTGTCTGGATTGTGTCTTGTCGGGATTATGTATGGTCGGGATTTCGTCGTGTCTGGATTATGTCTGGTCGGGATTTGGTCGTGTCTGGATAATGTCTTTCGGGATTCTGTATTTCGGTATTTTGTATATCGGGATTTCATTATACACCCATCGCCAACGCACAAAGGACCGTAAATCTCCCACAGAATCTTTCTCTCAAAACCTCTTAAGAGCCGCCTAATCAGATGATTTTATTGTCCATGCCTCTGCGGGCATGATGACAGTGGTTTTCGAATGTCGTTCAAACTTGACGGAGACGGGTATGCTTCGACTGTTTCTCTGATGACAGGAGATACTTCGTTTTGTCATCATTCACCACTAGACCCACACGCTGTACTTCTCCATTTAATTCCGAGAACAGATGCAGCCCTTGCGTTACCGTGATTTCGATATCTTCGCTTTACCCCATATATCGCACACCGTCTTCAGAATAGTCACAACTCAAAATTTGGCATTTTGAAATTATGCGCTAAAAATGTACACAGAGCCTTTATTAACCTTCTAGCAAAACGTGGAGCAAATTTTTATTATAATTTGTAAAAAAAAAACCTATGGTAAAGTCGCCCTTGCCCATATGATTAGCATGTGCTCCGAAATAGTTTTTCGCATTTTCTGACCGTATTATTTTTAGTTGTGACTCTTTTGAAGACGCTGTGCGATATGTAATACTCCTATATTGGCAGTAACAGCTAGTACGGTCCGAAAACATTACAGTACAGATATATAAATAAACACGTACACATACGTTTATAAATAAACACCCAATACGGTACTCACGTACACAATACATACACAAAAACGGCTTTAGACTCGTTTTGATTTCGGAACCCAGTGGGAATTAGGAGCACGTAATAATACCTTATTAGCAACTT